TGTTCAAAAGGGTGACGTTCTAAAAGGAATTGAAATTAATACAAATTCAGTATTTAGACAATATGGTTGAACATATAAAATCTTATTTAATGTGTTATCACAATCATTAGTCTTGTTAAATGTCACTTGTAATATTCACCAAATTAAAAAGATCGTTAAAAAACATACATTTCTGAAAACAATTGTTACCTCGATCCATAATAAAGGAGGTGGAGATGAATTAATAATAGGTGCAATCCTTTGCTAACGTGTTGGTTATGTGTTCCATCCTCCTACGTCAGGTCTAAATTCATTATGATTAACTACTGATACCACATTACTCTGCATCTACCAACCTGGAAGTTGTTGACGAAGCGAAACATTCAATGCGAAATGTATTTCTTCTTTCATTCTACCATTAAACTGAGTGAATAGTACAAAGATCAGAAAATAAAAGTCATATAATCATAAGACAAAAATGCTCACTTTGATGAACAGTTCATCATCAACCCTTTTAGCTTGAAAAATGTTGTGAATAGCCTCAAGAACTTTCTTCCGTTTTTTGTCTTTAATAGGAGGTAAATCTATTTCTACAATATCTAAATCTAAATCATCCTCGGAAATCTTTTCCTTAGCAAGTTTAAGCTCTTTTTCTATTTGATTAATGGTCTGAAAATAATGAATTGCTAGTTATAATTCATTCGCTATATTTTCAAGTAATATTTAAATACCTTCGTCTCTTCACTTTTCATGAGATTTTGAATTATACTTTTTAGCAAAAATCTTTTAACTATACTCTATACAAATTTTTATAACATTAGTGGAAATAAATGGTTAAATTTGCTAATCAATAGCAAGAGAACAATAATAGTACTTGCCCACTGTTTAAACGATCACTACTACTAGGTTCATTCTCATTTCTCGAAAATGTGGTTGCTATGATTAGATAGTCGAAAAACAGTAATAAAAAAAAATTCACAGGATCGGTAATTTATTTATACACTTCATAGGATGATATGATCATTGACCAGATTATTCACTTAC